GGCCTGGCCTCAGCACAGACTCGGGAAGGCGCCCGTGACGGATGTTTCTGGGAAAAGCTCCCGGGGAGGGTTCTTGGAAGACGGGTCACCAGGGAGCGCCGCTGCCACTAGCAAGCTTCATGACATCTTCGCGGCGGCAGCAGCTGCCACACGCTCCCGCCCTGGCGGGGACATCGATGTGAGCAGAGTCCTCGTGGGGGCCCTGGCCTGGCGACTCCAGGGAAAACCAGACTGGGAAAGACCACCTGGCAACACCAGAGGGTTGGGACGTGCCGGAGTCCCGGCGTCAGCCCTGCCTGTCCAGGCCTGAGTCCATTAGTCTATCCAGGTGGCTGGGGGCAAAGGCTCCCCGGCACACGCATGCACACACACACACACAGGCACACACACGCATGCACACACAACGTCACGTGCTGGGCACCGTGTCCCCCAGTGGCTTTGCTGACCCCTCCCCTGCCCTTAGCCGAGGTGCCCAGTGTGGCCCCGCAGGGATCCCAGACCTGGGCCGTGGCGACTGCAGGCATTTTTACCCCCAGCTCAGCGTCTACGTGTCCAGCTCTTCCTGCCGGCCCCGTGTCGAGTGGACTCTGCCCCACAAATCCTGGCAAATCCTCACCCGCGAGGGAAGCCAGAGGGCAGGAAGCCCGGCTTTGCCCGTTTGGCTTCTGTCAGCCTCCGGGCTTTACGAGTCTGGCCTGGAGGGGCCGCAGAGCCTTGTCGACGGCAGAGACAGCCCAGCGGCCACCCCAGAGCCAGGACAGCAGGTCACCCGTGGGGTCCCGCCCCATGGACAAACCTCCTTCCCCAGCCAGACCCCAGGCCGGGATGGAGCCTCCCGGAGAGGAAGGGGGAGCTGGCTGTGCGGTGTGGCTTTGCCGGCCGCAGCTCCCGCACCCTGATAGAGACCAGGCACCTTTCCCGCAGAGCACGCAGCTCGTCTTCACGACGACACCCTGGATTTTCCGTCTTATTGCCTGAGACACCTGCCTTCACGCAGACCACCCCAAACGTAGGGGCTTTAGGAGGACAGGCTTCGCAGGGAACCCGAATCGGGCACGAGGTACCTGTTGTCGGACCCTCAGATTCACCATCCTCTAAACCTGCACGTATCGGAGTCAACAGCCAAGCTGTTCGCACTTAAGCAATTAATATGCATGAAGACTTCGCAAACACGTAGCGGGGGGCGGTTGCTGTGCCGGATTATAGGACGATTTCTCGGATGAGGTCATTCGTTTTTATGGTCCTGTTTAATTTGGATTTGCTGGGCTTCCTTTCATCATCCCACAGGCCGGTCTTAATAATCCAGATCTATGTTATGTGCTTTGTGGCATCAATGAAGCCGCTGCTTAATTAGAAAAGCTATCTGCTCTCGACAGAGGAATCGATGTAATGGGGGGAGGCGGGAGGACTTTGGTTTGAGAGTGGATGGAATTGCCTGTCAGTGCTGGAATGTGTGCACACACACACATGCATACATGCACACACGTGAACACACACAAGTGCACGCCTGCACATATGCACACACACGCACACACACTCCTACATCTGTGTGTGTTTCTGGTGAGCGGGCCTGTCAGCCCCGCAGTGAGGCAGCGTCTGACGGGATGATCGGCCCCTGGCAGGTAAAACTGTTTATGGAATCAAACTCTGACAGTTTCAAGTGGGCACAGACTGACCCTGCATCGATCTGTTCACTTATCTAACCAACCACAACACTCTCCGAGGGCCTACTAAGTGCCAGGCGCAGCCACCACAGTGTGACAACATGCAGTACCTGCTGCCCTGTGTAGGACGGCGACGCCACCAACACCCGTCAACACCACAAACCCGCATGTCAGCGATTTGCCGCATCCAGCCCCAGCCTCCTCGCGGGTGTTCCCAACCAGCCTCGAGCCACCACTGTGTTTCTCTCCTGACGCCCGGGACTCAGGGACTTGGGGAGGGTCGGGGACTGTGGCGGGGTCACGGTCAGACTGGGCTGGAGTGGCTGGTGCTGGCCGACACCTCTCTCAGGGTCACCCAGGGCCGGTCTGTGTGAACTCCCCACGTGAGCTCGTGTGGGCTCTTACCAAGCACGCGGCTCCCACCGTGGCCCTGCTCCAGCACCCCACGGGCAGAGGAGGGGGGGTCCTTCCCGCCCCAGCCCTGGGTCATTCAGCACCACTGTGCCTTCCTCTCTTGGGTGCCCAGACACAGAAGCCACCCAGTCCTGGGGTGGGGGACACAAGATTCCAGACGGGATATTTTTGCATCGTCTTTGGAAAATACAATCTGTCACACTGGGTTATGTGAAGAAGATCAGATTCTGGGGAAAAAATGCATGTTCTAGAACAGGAGGCAGCAAACTACAGCCCAGGGGCCCAACCCGCCCACCGCCCGTCCTCGTGATGAAGGTTTAGTGGCTCACGGCCACACTCGTTCACGTGCACGGCAGCTGCGGCTGCTGTTACGCCGCAAGCCGGTGTTGAGGGGTTGCCACCGAGACCACGTGGCTGGAAGCCCGACATGTTCACATCTGGCCATTTGGGGAAGAGTCGTGCTGACCCCCGAGAACACTGGCCACAAGGGAGTGTCACTGGGCGGCTCACCACCCGATCCTTCAGGTGTCGAGGAAGAAGGAGCCGTGCCCCGACCCGTGCTGGCAACAGCAGGCAGGTGGGAGCAGAGTCTGGCGCCTTCCGACGGCCCCTCCTCTTGTCAGCATTCCCACTGCAGAAACCCGGCTCAGACCCGTGCAAAAGCACCTTGGTTTGCAAAGCTGCCGGGTCCAGGGGAAGCTGCAGGACTTGCTGGGCGCAGACTCAGACGTGTGGGCTGGGGGCGTCTCTCTGTCTGCCCCCCACGCCAGGCCCATTTTACACAGGCTTCCTCCACGTCCTGGTCTGCAGGCGGGACTCTGACCCCCAGGGCGACGGTGCCAGGGATTAGCACCCTCACAGGAGGGAATCCAGGGAGCTCCCGCCTCCCACCCTGTGAGGATACCACCCGGACGCAGCCCTGGCTCACCCTGACCGGGACACGCAGCCTGGGAACTGGGAAATGACTACTGATTATACGCCGCCCGGCCCGTGGTGCCTTGTTACAGCAGCTCTGAGACTCCCCACCCCTGCCCTCCTCCCCTCACCCGACACCCACTCTGGCTTTTCGTAACCCCCTCCCTGTTCCAGGCCTGCCCCCAGGGCCCCAGCTTGGGGACACCTGGGGACACCATAGGACAAGCTGCAGGTTCCCCACAGGGCTCCCCGGGGGGCCTCAAGTGAGAACTAAAGCAATCGGCAGGGGGTGGTGCAGTCAAGACACTTTTCAAACCTTTGTTCTCTCCAAACTTTGAACGTAGCATTCAACTCTCTGGGTACATCTCAGCATGTAAATAATTCAGACTTCTGAGTTTTTAAAAAAATATCCAAAATAAAAAAATTAGGTATTAAAAATTCAAGTTATTTTGGGACTTAAACATAGCACAGCAGACAGAATATGAGGATATAAGCCTGGTGGTGTCATCTCTGCAGCTCATGGCCCGACCCCGGGAGCTGGTTTTGACACTGCCCTCGAGAAGCCACTCCAGACCCAGGGCCCTTCTCTGGCCCCGACACCTCCGGCCAGTAACTCAGGACTATCCAGAAACCCAGGAGGAAGAGGTGCCTTAATTGCTCCCGTCCCCAGGGACAGGGCCACTGCCATCCACTGCTTTCTGGCACTGCTGGCGTAGGGGCGTCAGTCAGGAGGGCTCCCTCCTGCGCTCACCCCCGTCTGCCCTTCTGTCAGCGGATGGAGACTCGACTGCTCTCAGCAGCTCCAAACGGGTTTCCACGGCACACACAGCTCAGGCTCGGGCGGGGAAGGGACACTGAGACCCGTCTGTGGAGCCTGGAGCCCCCGAGCGAGGTCAGGGCGTTGCAAAGCCAGGTGGGGCCACTTCCTTCTACCCCCGAAGGTGCTGACCCTGCCCTGACTCATCTCAGAAGACACCACTGCCCCCTGGCATGATGCCGGACACCCCAGGGCAGCCTCAGCCCCTCCCCCCAGCCCACCCTCCGTGGCCGAGGTTGGAGCCCACGGCATCTAGACTGTGACACAGGGTGGCGGTGAGGTCCATATGTAGGATGTCAGGGCCAACGAGGGGCTCTGTGGTTTCCAAGCAACTATGGCTTCTGTTGGGTCTGCTCCCATGCTCCCTCAGCCCCCTCGGCCCCCACGATGCTGACCTCAAACTTATTTCCCATGGGGAGCATGTGACCAAGGCTCGACCAATCAGTGAACTCCATTCCTAGGCTGCTGGCTGTGATTGGCTCCCAGATGGGCACATGACCCAACATGGGCCAATGAAAGCCCTGCCTGAGACTTTTGCTTGAATTGTTGCCAGGAGAGGCTGTCCCAGTCTGAAACTGTCAGCTGGGATAGCGTGTATCACCTACGGCCTGAGGATGGGGGTGGGCTGGTCCTTGTGCCCACTGTCCCCTCCCTAGGCCCATGTGGGCTGCTGGGCCAGGCTCCCTCACCCTCTGGCTTGGGCTCCGTCAGGGGAGCCAGCAGCAGACACTGACAGGTGGGAGGAGTGAGGGCTCCCTGTCCCCTCCCTACCTGCCCATAGTCTCGGCAGTGGCTTCTTCTCTCCAAAATTTCTGTCCCTGCCAAGTGTTCCCATCTCCAAAAGCCCCAGCTCTTGCTGGGCCCCCATGGTATTATTTCTGCCCTTTGTCCCCTTGGCCTTGGATAGAAGAGCCTCCCACTGCTGCTACTTCCTGGGTGCCTCGACACCCCCCATGGGTGTCCTGGGCTCTGCCCATCCCCACTTGGGAATCCGTCAATTCCTGCCAGGATCTTGACTAACACAGGGGCCAACCTGAAAGCAGGACGATGCTGTCGGCCATCATCCCCTAGATGTGAACCCTCCGGGGGCCCTCAGAGTGCTGGGGTGCTGGGCTCTGGATGCCGGTGCTTCCCGGAAATTCCTGGGAGGCCCCTGTGGGAGGACGGGGGGCGGGGGGCTGCGCACTCACTTTTTGGGCCTGTAGTCGGGGATGGTCCTGTCCAGGGAGATGCGGTTGCTAAGCTGTGCATTGTAGCCGTACTCCTCGAACGCGCCTTCCGTCTCGTGGCTGTCGTCCCGCAGGGTGGTGGCCAAGCCGCCCTGGCCCAGGCCTCGTGGCCCCTCCACCAGACCCATGGGCTTGGCAAGGCCTGCGGGGAGAGCAGGAGACAGGGGGTCAGGCAGCCCCAGGACAGACCCGCACCCCACCAGAGACGCCCTCCCTGCCTCTCTCCCTAACTCGGCACAATCCATACAGACTGCGGGACCCTGGAGGAGGCAGGGGAAGAGCTGGGGGGCCAGAGGCGGGGGGCAGCATAGGGTTTGGGGCAGCGACACTGCTCCATGTGAGGCTCCAGTGGTGGATACGCTATGCATCTGTCCAATCCCCAGAACTCACAGCACCAGAGGAACCCAGAGCAAAGAGACTTTAACTAACAGCAATGTATCCAGCAATGTATCAATATTGGGCCCAGGGCAGACTGGGGCTTTAGTGAACAACAATATATCGATATCTACCAATATCGGCCCATCAATTGTGGCAGACACGCCAGGCGGGTGTAAGGCGCTCACACCAGGGGACACTGTGCGCGGGAACTCTCTGCTCAATGTCTCTGTAAATCTGAAAAGGCCCTAACACTCCGGAAAACTACAAAGTGAAGCGCTAACGTCTGTGCTCTCCCCTCCGCAAGCCCCACCCTCCGAAGGACATTATTTCTTCCTGGTTTTTAGTCTTTTCTTTCTGTCCACTACACATGTGCATAAGAAGCTTACGGATCTAGTTTCCGCTTGGTCAGTCTGAGACAATCTCCCGTGACTCCTGGGCGTGAAAAGTGAGCAGTTGAGCCCGTTCTCTGCACCCCTACGTCCCCTGCCCGCTCCTCCTGTGCCGGATTTTTCTGAGCTGTGGTTACATTTGGTTGTTCCGGTGGTTACCCGTGTGTCCTTCAGGGGTTACTTAAGGCTCCTCAGCTGGCGTCTCCCGCCCCTGTGGCCTCCGTCCCCTCACTGCCCCTCACGGCCACACCCTCCATGGTCACTCCTGGCGTCCACACTTCCCTGTAACTGAAACTGCGCTGCCCACGGGGTGCGTCCCTAAGTTGATTCTAATGTGAGAAACGAGTCAACACGGCCACGTTGTGATTACGCCACTACCATCTGCCGCGGAGCCCACCCTGAGCGGCCAAGGGACCCCCACTCACCGACCCCGCGCCACTTAGTGAGGGATTTCCGAACGTCAGGACAAGATCCATGGATTTGCTGACACTCTACTGGTGTCTCAGAATTATGTGTATTTTGTTTTGCTTTATGTTTGGGTCTTGGCTTTCTGTGCCCCTTTTTAGAGGGGACACACAAGGATGACAATAATGATTAATAATAACAGTGTTTACAGAGCTTGCACCCTTTAGACACGTTGACTTATCGTCCCACAACACCCCTGCCAGGCAGGCACCATAATTCACTCCATTTTGCAGATGAGGAAACTGAGGCACAGAGAAGCCGAGCCACGTGCTCCTGCTCCCACGGTTCGTGGGTCTGTGCCCAGGCAGCGTGGTGCAGAGCAGATGCTCCCAACAGGTGTGACTGTGGACCAGGGTCCAGTCCTCCCGGAGAGGCCAGGAAGTGAGGGGCCAGCCCTCGGCATCCGCGTCCCACCCCTTCCCCCCGCATCTCACGAGCACAGGTATTCGCCCAGTTGCTGTCCTCGGTTCCCTCTCGCTCCGAGCCTGGGCTGCTCCGTCGTTCCGTGAATTTCACGTCCCCTCGAGTCTCGGACTTCGTTTTTATTCCATGGAGATATACTCTCAAAGAATATTCAGAAGGGTTGTATGGAGAGGAAACTGTCAGAGCCCTAGAACGTCTGCAAATACCTCTCCTCTGCCTCGCGGTTGGCTGGTAATTTTGCTGGGTATAGAAGTCCAGGCCCGACGTCCTCCCCCTCACCCAGCACCAGGACCTCTGCCTTGTGTGCATTGCTTTTTCTTTCCTTCTTTCTCTCTGTAGAGCCTTCGGGACTTTTCTCCTCCTTGGCATCCGAGATTTGGTCACGGCGTATCGTGGAGTGAGTCAGCCGCACTTGGCAATCTGAATGCTGAGCCTTTACCCAGCTCTGGGAACTTTGTCCCGTTAATTACGTGACGATATCCCATCTACCTCGACCTCCGTCGAGTGAGGTTTTCGCCCCGCTCTATCTTGTCCCCTTTTCCAGTCCCCACTTCCACTCTCTTGACTTCCCATCATCAGCTTGGCCTTTGGTCACGCGTGTTGCCAGTGCACCTGTCCGCTGAGTTGTTCTGTGGTCGTACTTTAATCCGGAAGGACGCTGTCTGTCCTCTGACGGCCCTGCCTGCACGAACGGAAGCTGGTGTTACTCTGCGTGGTTGGCAGCCTGGCCCCACGGCTGTGGCGCTCGCTAGCCGGGGGATCATCAAGGCAGCACCCGCATCTCAGTTCTTGGAAATGCAGCCAACTCTTGTCATTCCGGGCAGTTCTGTGGAGCCGCTTAAACGCTGAAGTAGCCAACACCGAGCCCTCTCTCCTGCGGAAACACAGGGTCTGCTCCACGGTGCTTGCTGGTCACATATTGTCACCAACCCATCAATGCATAACTTGGTTTTAAGTGTATTTCTGCTGAAAGGCACCTTATTTCATAGATATTGATGATTCATCCGCATTGATCTTAGAGACAACAGCGCCATAACTCACGCCTGAGCAAAGCTTCTCTAACACGTTTGTTCTCCGTAAGGCACAGCACGGCCTCGCGCATGCAGGACCACCGGACAGCACTTCAGCTCTGCTCTAGGGCACATTTCAAACGGCAGCATCACCGAACAAAAGCACAAAAATGCAGGAAATCTGGGACTCAACAGACAGTGGGAAGGACATTTGTTTACGGTCTGAGAGGAGGCGGCGGAGCGTGGCCTGGTGCAACCGAACGTTTCGCTGCTCTGAGCACGTCTGCGAACGACCACCAAAGAGTCACGAATATCGATTCGGGGGTGACAGATAAATTTTAGTCAGCAGGAAAATCTGAAAATACGGGACCCATGAATAATCCAGATCGACTGTCCTTTGATGTTTTAGCAACTGTTGCCGACACATCGGCGGGGCCGGCGGGGCGTGGGCCCTCCGGGACGTGATCTTCCTGCACCACAGCTGAGCCCAGAGCGAGTGAGGAGCGTGGATGAATGTCTGGGCCCAGCAGAGACGGGGCAGCCAGCGTCCCCCAAGGCCACGGGCCTGAGCCCCTGAGGCCTGTCCAGGGCCCGGAGATGGAAGCTGCTCAGGTGACAGCAGCCCTGAGTCCAGTGGTGCCAAGTTGGCTGTGTCTTTGCGGGACCTTGTTAAACACAGACCAACCCACAGGTCTGCGTGGGGGGGAGAGTCGGCATCTCTCACAGGCTCCAGATGCAGCTGATTTGGGGACTCCGTGCAGGACGCTGGCCTTGGAGCCGGGTCTCCTGGCCTTGGGCTCACTCGGGTGTGAAACCAGCCCTGCTAATCAGAGCCGGCATTGGTGCAGGTGTAGACCCGCCTGCGGCCCGGAGGGCAGTGGGGGGCTGCGGGGCTGGGGGCTCTGGGGTGGGGGCCTCCAGCTGGGAGGGGCTGTGGCTGGAGGGGAGCAGAGTGAGAGGCTGGCCTTGGGGAGGCGGGTGCGGGGTCACAGCCGGCTGCCATTTCCCCACCACAGTTCTCCAGAGCCGGAAAGATCTGTAACAGCTTCACACGTGAAACCTGCAGATCTGAGATTGCTTTTAAGGAAGGTCACACACAGAGCACCTTCCTGCGGGATTTCCGGTCTATCTGCCCCCACCGACCGCCTCTCTTAGCTCCAGCATCCGCTCCTAATCTTCTCTCCCGAAGAATTCCTTCCACAGAGACAGGATCGCTTGATCCCGCCAGGAGGCAGGGCAGGCGGGAAGGAAGCTGGGGAAGATGTGAAGGTGTGAGACGGAGCCGCTGACGCCTCCAGTGCTGCACCGGATCCGCGGGCCACGGGCAGGCGGGGACAGCCGCCTCCGCCTGGGAAGCCAGCGGGGCCCACGGACTAGTCCACTTTTGTCCTAGCCTCCCCCAGCCCGGCTTCATGAGTGCACAGCGTGGGGACAGCGGTGACATGAAAGACCAGGCTGCGCAGGCTGGTGTGGGCGGAACTGTGTCCTCTGGCTCCGGGCGCTGTGAATGTGACCTTGTTTGGAAACAGGGTCTTTGCCGACGTAATCGAGGTCAGACGAGGCCACGCCAGAGTGGGGCGGGCTCCAGGCCCCATGTGGTTAGTGTTGTCATATGAAGAGGGGACAGAGACATGTGGGGGGGCCACATGAGGAGGAGGCAGGGACTGGAGTGATGTGGCCACAGCTGGGGGACGCCTGGGGCCCGGGGAGCCGGACCAGGTGAGAAGGATCTCCCCCTCCGTGGCCCTACAAGGCCCTGCCGGCACCTTGGTTTTGGACTTCTGGGCTCTGGAACAGGGCAAGACTCCAGTTCTGTTGTGTAAGCCACCCAGTGTGTGGTGACTCGTTGGGGGCAGGCCCAGGAGTGACTGCACAGCCTCCTGCCACCCACCCATGTGGCCCACTTGGACCAGTGGACACGGGTTTGCTCAGAGCCAAAGAGAACCATTAATGTGAAACACTGAGGAAATCACAGACGACACAATCAATGGAGAAACATACCATGCTTGTGCATCGGTAGAATCTACATTGTTAAAATGTCCTTACTACCCAAAGTGATTGACAGATTCAATGCAATCCCCATCAAAATACCAATGTCATCTTTCACAGATCTAGAAAAAATAATTCTATGCTTTGTTTGGAAGTAGAAAAGAGCTCAAATAGCAAAATCAATCCTAGGCAAAAAGAACAAATCTGGAGGCATCACATTGCCAGACTTCAAGCTATACTACAAGGCTATAGTAACCAAAACAGCAATGGTACTGGCACAAAAACAGAGACATGACCAATGGAACAGAATAGAGAACCCAGATATAAACCATCTCCCTACAGCCAACTGATCTTTCACAAAGCAGACAACAATATACACTGGGGAACAGAAACCCCATTCGATAAATAGTGCTGGGAAAATTGGACAGCCACATGCAGAAGACTGAAACGGGATTTATTTCTTACAGTCCTGGAGGCTGGGGGTGCAAGGTGGAGAGGCTGCATCTGGCGGGGCCTTCGTGCTGCCAGGCCCACGGAGGAAGACAGGAGGGCCCAGAGCACGCAGGGGAGGGAGAGGGGAGGCTGGGGGAGCCGAAAAGGAGGGTA